TTCTCCTTGCATTTTTATCCATTTTTGCCGTGTGTATTTTGAAGTTTTGTTATTGGGCATAGAAACATTTAGGCTTATTTTGTCATTTTGACTTATTTACTCCATATCATTATGAAATACCCCTTTTTTATTCCTAGTAATACATCTACTCTAAAATCTTCTTTGCTTTATAGTGATAGAGTCCTTCTGGCTTTATTTCTTTGGTGTTGGCATGGTAAATCTTTTTATGTTCTTTTAAACCATCGTAGCTGTATTTTAAAGTTTGTTTTTGTAATCAACATATAATTGGAGCTCACTTTTTTTTTTAATGTTTATTCATTTCTGAGAGAGAGAGAGCACAAGCCAGGGATGAGCAGAGGGACAGGGAGAGACACAGTATCCAAAACAGGCTCCAGGCTCTGAACTGTTGGCATAGAGCCCCATGCGAGGCTTGGACTCATGAACCATGAGATGGTGACCTGAGCCAAAGTTGGAAGCTTAACCTACTGAGCCACCCAGGTGACCCTGAGCTCACCCTTTAATCCAACCTGATACTCTTTAGCTTTCAATTCCGTGTTTTTTAACCATTTACATTTAATTTGATTAACGATATGTTTAGATTTTAGTTGTCACCTTGCTATTTGTTTTGTAACTGTCCCATTTATTTTACCTTACTGTTTTAATTTTTTCTAGCTTCTTTTGGATTGAGTAAATATAATGATTTCCTTTTATCTTCTTTGTTATTCTCTAAGCTAAAACACTAAAAAAACATAAGTTTTATCAGACTTCTGGTTGCCATAGGGTTTATTGTCCACTTTTTATTATAATCTGCCTTCAATTGTTATTCTACCATTTCAGTATTGAATATGACCTTTCAACATATTTCTCCCTTCTCGGATTTTTTGCTATTGTTGTCAAACACTTTATTTATAAGTTTGTTATAAATCACCCCAATCGTAGCCCTTGTTTTTGCTTCTGTGGTCTAAATACATTTAAGCACTAAGAAATGTGTCTTATTTATCCTGTAGTTACTATTTCTGGTGTGTTCTTTTGTGCATACACACATTTCATTCTGGTATTATTTTTCTTCTGCCCAGTGATATTCTTTAATGTTTCTTATCCTGTGGGTGTGCTGAGGTATTCTTTCAGTTTTTCATGTCTTAAAATATCTTTATTTCACCTTCTTACTTAAACAGATATTTTCACTAAATATAAGCTTTTATTTTGGGAAGTTTTTAAAATTTTCTTCCAGAAATGTAAATGTGTAGCTCCCCTGTATTCTCACTTGTTTTGTTTCCAAGGATTCTTTTGCCATCCTACCCTTTGTTATGTACAGGAATATGTCATTTGTCTTTAGATGTTTTTATAATTTTTTTAAAAATTATAGTTTATTTTTGAGACAGAGACAGAGCATGAGTGGGGGAGAGTCAGAGAGAGAGGGAGACACAGAATCTGAAACAGGTTCCAGGCTCTGAGCTGCCAGCACAGAACCCAATGCAGGGCTCAAACCCACGAATCAGAGATCATGACCTGAGCCAAAGTCAGATGCTTAACTGACTGAGCCACCCAGGCACCCTGTTAGATGCTTTTTAAAATTCCACTTTTTTGGGATGCCTGGGTGGCTCAGTTAAGCATCTGACTTTGGCTCAGGTCATGATCTCACAATTCCTGAGCTCCAGCCCCATGTCCAGCTCTGTGCTGACAGCTAGCTCAGAGCCTGGAGCCTGCTTCAGATTCTGTGTCTCCCTCTCTCTCTGCCCCTCCCCCACTAACACTCTGTCTCTCCTTTTCTCAAAAATAAATAAAACATTTAAAAAACTTAAAAAACAATTCCACTTTTTTGACTGATTGATAATAAAAAGCATTGGTATAGTTTTCTTCATGCTTCTTGCACTTGAGAAGTTGGGAGATCTGTGGGGTTTTAGTTTTCAGGAAATTTGGAAAATTTTCACCCATTATACTTTCAAATACTCCCTCTTCCTTCTTCAGACTCTAACTGCACAATTGTCCAGCTGATCGTCCTCTATTATGTACTTTTTGAGCACAGTGATAATTGTCTCAATGTACTTTTCTGCCAATTCTAGCCTCTGTGTCAGTTCTCTATTGGTCTTGGTTGATTATTTTCTTCATTTTAGGTGATGTTTTCTTGATAATCTTTGTATGCTGATAATCTTTGATTGGATGTCAGATGTTATTAATTTTTCCTGTTTTTTGCTGAATATTTTTACATTTCTATAAATTTCTTTAAATTTGCTTCTGAAATGCAGTTAAGTTACTTATGGTCAGGTTTACATTTGTAGTTCTTGCTTGTATGATTTGTTAAGCAAATCCAAAGTCGTGCTCAATCCACAACAAATTATTCTCTACTGAAGCAAGATTTCCATGAAGTCCATCCTCAGTGTCCCATGAGTTTTTTCAGTTTTATTGGTGAGAACAGGCACTATTCCTGACCCTGTATGAGTGCCAGGCATGACTGCCATTAATTCTTTCAGGTGGCCCTTTTCTTGGCTTGGAGTAGTTTTTTTTCACATACATGTGCTGCAATTCAGTGTGCCAAAAATTTGAGGGGATCCCTCTGTAGATCTCTGTTTGTTTGTTTCCATGTGCAGCCTTGTGCACTCAACATTTGCTAAGCCAAATCTATGTCTGGATGTCATTAAACAAATCTCCTCCGGTTTTCTGTGTTCCTCAGATACATGTTAACTTTGCTGACTTCCTTAACACAACAAATCTGTACCCACCCCCATGTATCTTCCAAAGCATCTTGTGTATACCTCTATTTAGAAACTCAACCCTATCTTATAAAAATACCTATTCACCTGTCTGTCTCCCTTGAAGGGAAAATTATTGATTTGACAACTTTATATCCATGTTATGTGGTAGTAGTTGACAATATTTGTTGTTGGGTGGATAAGACAGAATTCTCAATCATTTCTATAACTCAGAGATAAAGGTCCAGTCCTGGAACCTGGAAGGCAAATGAAAGAAAGAGTTAAGCCTGGAAGTTTAAAACAAAATTCCAGGAATGAGAGTCAAGTGTCAGTTGTGAGTAAGTGAATAAATTTCCTCTCCTAGGCTACTCAGGTTTTACATACAAGTTATATCAAACATTAAATAAAGTATAGAATATTTGGGGGCACTTGAGTGGCTCAGTCAGTTAAGTGTCCGACTGCAGCTCAGGTCATGATCTCATGGATTATGGGTTCCAACCCCACATCAGGCTTTGTGCTGACAGCTTAGAGCCTGGAGACTGGTTCAGATTCTGTGTCTCCTTCTCTTTCTTCCCCTCCCCAACTCACACTCTGTCTTTCTCTCTCTCAAGAAATAAATAAATATTAAAAAATTTAAAATATATATGTATGTTATAGAGTATTTTATGTTCAGTAGAAACTGAGAGTTAAAAAAAATTCTCTCTCCTCTTTACTTAAGTAGCCATCTTCTCTCTTTGACACAGTTGAACTTCATTTTATGTGGGCTCTTAAATTGTGTAGAACAATTTCCAAAAGGTCTTTGCTCACAAGGCAAGCTTTCACTTCAAAGACTAGGTTATTATGTATATGGGGGCTGAAGAAGTGTGAGTAGGAGGAGAAGTATAAATGAAGATTTTAAAAGCTTCTCTCTGTTTTCTGACCATGGCTGTCCCTTAAGGCTTAGACACTGCTACTTATGAGCTCTAGAGACTAGAGAACTGTTGATCCTTTTTTTTTTTTTTTTTAAGACATTGGCCGTAATTTTATTTCTTGAAATTTTTTTTTTTAATCCTCTGAAGCATTTGTCAAAAATTGAATGCAGATTGACTCCACTATTTCCCCTGTGGCTGTTTCTAGTTCTGTGAAACTCTTGTTCATTGTGCTTAGAATATTCTCTCTTTAAAATGTTGGTCCTGCCTCCTTCTTCAGATACCTGGCCCGGATGTGATTATCTGGCCACCATCTCACATAAGCATGTTCCCTTTCAGGAACAAAGTTAATGACCATTAAAGGTTTGGACCCTCACTTTATGGGTGGGCAGTAGTCTGCTACAGCATTATAACCTCACATGATAGCTATGTGGTTTTTCCCATTTCTAGGAAATATCTTCTAGACTTGATCTGGAAAATGAAAACAAATTAAAAGGTTATAGATTTCAGATGGTTTAAAATAATTTTGTATTGGTTAAGAGAGACTAATCTTCAAATATATTCTCAATTCAGGATTAAGTGCCAAACTTCAAGATGTCATTTGATTGTGACTGTTCCTCAATTTGTTCAATATCATTAGGTGTGCTTAGTGGCAAATTCTCAAGTAGAAATCCAAACAGGTAATGAGTAACATCCAATTTGCATGTAAGCCAATTGTTTTAGAGAAAAGATTAATTAAAAGAAGTGGTAAGTTAATTTAAATCAAGCAAAGCCAAGCAAGCATCTTCCCTGAGTTAAAATCCCTGACCCATTTTTATCTTCTTGGATACAGTATATAAATCTTCATTGGATAAATATCTCCACCAGAAAAAAAAAATGAGTTAAGAATCACATTTAGAGCTTTGAACTGAATATTTCCCGATAACAGATGTTCTTAAATCAAACAAGCTCATTTCACCCAGTATATTTAATAGTGTCAGTTTGCGTGTATAAGACTAAGCATGTTTTACATGTGACAGTGCTGAGGGCAGTGGGGAAAGGAAAGTGTACCCCATAACCTCTTCTCCCTTCACACTCATTATCTACCACACATTTAGCCATTTATGTTTTCACAGGCATATAATTATTGCACATATTATGTAGCCACAGTGGTCCCAACAAGCACTGGGGTTCAGGTTGGCAGCACATTTCTGTAGTGATCGTGACAAGCTTTGATAAATAAGCCAGTCGACAACTAACTTTATCTTGGAGAAGAGAATAAACACCCATGGAAAAAATGCTTTACCCTCTCTATCCAGAAAGTCACCGGTGCACCCAAGACAAAGTTTAATAAGGAGCCTTATGGATAGAAAATATATTAGTTATTTATAGTACCCTTTCTCTTTTTCTTCTTTGTCCATAGAGACTGAAAGAATTAAAGCAACGGGAATTTGCTCGAAACGTAGCTTCCAAGTCATGGAAAGATGAGAAGAAACAAGAAAAAGCACTTAAACGGCTTCATCAGCTGGCCGAGTTAAGGCAACAGTCTGAATGGTAAGAATTAGAGGTATCTCAGATGGTTCAAAACTCTCTTCAAAAAAAAAAAAAATCTCTTCAATCATTGGGGAAATGTCAAGATAAATTTATTTGATTCACTGTCACATGGAAACAAATTATATTTAATCAAAAGACATGTTTGAGGGCAAGTGTTTTAATAGTTAAAGCCTGATAAATTAGTAACTTTGGTATCTGACTTTTTTCCTTTCCAATGTTAATTTTATGTGCTCTTTCATGAAATGATCTAAGAATGATCCTAATATACTAGCACATATTCTATCCAGCTGATTTAAAAGGGCCCATATAGCTCTTTAGTAATTATTTTAAGTTTTGTAATAATAAGTTTATTTTGTTTTTTTTTTGTAATACTAATTTTAAAAACCTTAAGTAACAGTGCATCTTTTAGGGGAGGAAATAAATCTGTGCATTTCCCCGTACATACCTATACCTAGAATAAATGACACTATCATTGTCTAGATGCCAAAAAAAGAAAATAAAAGATGTAATGAATGCAGTTAAATTTACCAAACACTGCCAGCTAAATTGATAATTATAACATGTGTATACTAATACATTCTTGTAGCTAAAAAATAGCTGTTTTACATAAGCTTAGAACTGCTGAATGTTTCAAAATGAGATTGTTACCTGGAACTCAATTAAATTTGCAGATTATGATTTGTGTTCATATGAATCATAATGTAAAACACCTAATGTAGCTAATTAATGAAGTTGGCAGCAACCTAGTGAATTGTGAAATTTATAGCTCTTTGCCACAATTTAAACCCCTGTTGAAATAAAACAGAATGCAATAAATTTGAGAATGAATGATTCAAATAATTGAGAACCATAAAATATTACACCTCAAATTTTATTCTAAGAAAATATGTATTTTATTTATTTTAAGGATCAATTTATGATAAAAAAACACATTATTCACCTTACATATATTCATGTATTTGTACCACTATCGTAGAATAATTTAATTAACTCAAGAAACTACATAGAAGATAATCCTATTAAAAATAAGTGAGAAATTTGGTATGAAGAAAATATAAAGTTTGGAAAGCCATGTATCCAGAAGTGAGGTTACTATAAAAATGCCTGCTCGGAGGTCATTATAATCGTAGAAATGAGACACACATCTGGTACTGAGCTTTTGACACATTGTCAATAAGATATCAAATTGTCCTTGTCAAAATAGAACTTAGAAGGAAAAGTCTAATGATAGTTATGATAGCATGCAGGGGAAAAAATCTGAGGAACATGTTAATTCTTGAGTGATTTATTATGATATTATTATGAGATTATAAAAAAGGGGGCAAACCTTACTATAGAGAGACAACATTTAGATAGGTCCTCTCAGGCCATATATCAAAAACTCTTAGTAGCCTTAATAAACATATATTTTTGGGGAGCCTGGGTGGCTCAGTCAGTTGAGCATCCGACTTCGGCTCAGGTCATGATCTCACGGTTCGTGGGTTCGAGCCCCGCGTTGGGCTCTGTGTTGACAGCTCAGCCTGGAGCCTGTTTCAGATTCTGTGTCTCCCTCTCTCTCTGCCCCTTCCCTGCTCATGCTGTCTCTCTCTCTCTCTCAAAAATAAACAAAATTTTTAAAAAATTAAAAAAAATAAACATATATTTTTTTATTATTGGAAAGTTGTCATGCTTCTACATTTCTACTCATTTATTACATATTTCCTTGGGAGAAATAGAAATGGTGATGGTTATGATGCTTTTGTTTAAAAGTTCTGAGTTTTCCACGCTACCCATGAAGTGTCTTCCAAATTAAAAAAATGAAAAATTCTACTAGTTAAGGTTGAGCTGAAATTGTATTAACTAAACAAACAGAAACTCAAGCACATTCCTTACAGGATAGACAGAATCTCTAGGTTCCATTTTTTTCATATTGTTAGGGAAATGATAGGTGTTTAGTTTTTCACATGCAAAACTTGAAACTAGGAAAATTATTGCATTCTTTTCTGCTACATGTCCTCTGCCCTCCAGATAATTGTTCTCTTTGTTTAAGCAGCCTCATGGCCTAAAGGAAGTCACTTAATAGAATTATTTAATATTTTCATTTTGGCAGCTGAATTGAAAAATGGAAGTAAGAAATAAAATGAAAAAGAAAAAAAAAAAGTGCTTTATCCCTCTCCTGAAAAACTTTTCTCTGTCCATGATTCTCCTAACAAGGGCTTGGATCTGATAGTAGGGCTTCTTGTAGGATGGTTCAGACAACAAGAAAATTCTCCTGTGATTCTACAGAAGAGAGAGGAGAATTTATTAGTGATAAGAATATTGGAATTGGACTGATGAAAATAAATAATGGCAGAAAATTGTTGATGAATCTTATAAAGGACAGTCAACTTTGGCCATTTAATGGGAAAAGCAACCCAACCTGGTTCCTTAGGAAGCCCAGTTACTAAATGGGGGTAGAGAGTCATTCTGTTTCTAAACTTCTACTATATGTAAATCTAAGTATAGTGCATACTGATATGGACTTTTTTCCAAATTTCAAAAATTATAAGATCACTGACTTTGAGAATATAAGAGATGGATAATGTTATATCATTTAAAGAAAATAAGTATCAAACATATTTGATATGTTTTTTTTTTTTCCTGTTTGGAAAGTATACTTTTGCACAGAAGATAATTAAATTGTGCATGGATTTAGTCGTCAAGAATTAGAGTTTGGGGAGAGCTATTAGAATGGACAATCTATTAATAAGTAAGAAGGGGCTAACTTTATAGTCACTTTTTTATTATAAATAAAAAATAATTAGGTAGAAAATATAGAAAGAAACTAAAGAAGGTTCTAGAGAAAAGAGTGAAATCGTAGGATATAACTATAAAAATTAAACTTTAATTATGTTAAAAGGCAAAAAATAGTATTAAAATAATAGAATTGAAAACCACAAAGATAGAAAATTGGGATTTTCCAAAGTAATAAAAATTAACTAGATTTATGATAAGGTAACTTAAAGTTTAGAAAGCAATGAGATAAAGAGTTTAAAGCATAAACCCTAGAGGTAGAAAAGATTAATAATGAGAATAAAATGCTAAAACTTGTGAAAAATATAATCATAAATATAGGTTGGATTGTACAGTAAGAACAAGAATTAAGGATAAGAAGAGCAAAATATAATACAAAAACAAGAGGAAAGATGCTTAAAAATATTGGAAAGAATATAAAAGAGAGAAGCTTGCACTTTAGAGAGGTAAATGGTCAAATAAAGCAACCATACAGAAAAGAACATTTAGACTAACATAAATCAAAGCAAGAAGATACACAAAACAGTGCCAGGATAATAAGCAAAAATATTATCAAGGAAAAATATACAGAGATAATATAAAAATAGTAACATCTGTGTCATAATGGAATCATGAGAGGCAGAATGCTAATCTCCATACACCAGGCTTTTGAAATAATTTCTGCTAAGTGCAGATAATATCAGATTAATTGACATTCCTAGAGAAGGTAACTTAACAGGAGTATAGTTACTACTGAATCGAAAGTGTAGCCACAAATATAAAAAAGAAACTCTTTGGCACTGAGGCAAAATTCCGAGCTGCAGATGTTTCTGCTGTTTAACCTTCTATCCACAGACTGCAGGCATTTTAAAAGACCAATAACTACCGTTAATCTCTGTGCTTTCTGTTTTCCTTTATGTTTAAAAGTAATACTGAATAAGCCATACACTATATTAGCATGTTCCTTTCCATTCCTCATATCAAGTATGCCTCAATAACCTCTCTAAAGAACATTGAAAAAATGATTTAAAAAAAGAAGATTAATGTGATGATTAAGAAGAAAGATTTCATTATGAAACAGTTACTGGAAATTTTCTGAATTTATTTTCCACAGGATTCAAGGGAACAGTATAATTCTAAAGTGACAGGCATTAGTTTATGAAGAAGGAACAATGTGAAATTATTAAAAAGTGAATAGTGGCTGAAACTATTGTAAATTAAAACCTATATGAGCATAGTAAATGAAAGATTGGATATTGTAAAAAACTGAAACAGCAAAACAGAAATTAAAAACACGAAATTCCTTCCGAACTAGAGACATAAACTAAAGACACTAAAGTTTGGAGATAAATAACACCTACAGGATATATTCAGGAGAGCCAACACACTTAACGTAAGTTCCGGCATAAAAAGCTAAGACAGGGAAGAAGCAATAATCAGAGAAATCAGAGAAGAAAATACAACTGAGCTAAAGAAGTTGAATTGAAAGTGCCCAGCAGTAGTAGTGAAAATTAACCCAAAGAAATCAAATCTGTAACTCTGGTCTGGTTACAGACCAGATATGTATATATATCATCTCTATGTATATATATCATCTAATATCTATATAATATCTAGATATATCTATATAGTCTAAAATAAAAACATATTGTGGATAGTAATTATAATAAAAATATAAGTTATAAATATTATAAATGAAAAAGAAAATTACAAATCACACAAGTGCACAACATATTCCTTTCAAAAACAAGTGAAGGGAGACTAAGTATTTTTCTGCGGTATGAAACATGTAGCAAGACAAGGAAACAAAGTACAATAAAACCTTGCATTGCAGGCAGTTTGTTCTACAAGTGTTCTGTAAGATGAGGAAAAATTTTTAATACTTTTAACTTGATAAACAAGCAATGTCTTTCAATATGAGTAGTACCTGATGCCAAATGTCACATGATCAAAACTGAGCCAATGGTTCTTAAAATTCACTTTGATATATAATTGCATTTGATTACAAGCATGTTTTTAGAATGAATTATGCTCACAAACCAAGGTTTTACTTATATGAGATGTGGTGGATAAAAAGAATGTGATTCCAGAGTTCTGTGCTGATTAGCCAAATAACGTCATAGGTGAAGGCAACAAGAAATAACTTCTCAGAAAAGGGTTCAGAAAACATACCTCTCCACTAGAAGTTGATCTACATAGGGAAAAGCTATCAGATTTTTAGTATTCTTTACGCAAGTAACAAATGAGTGAATATAATAAAATAAAAATCTAAACTAGAAAGAAGCAAACAGACACATATCCAAACATGTAGATAAAGAAAAAGAAAAGGAAAAGGAAAAGGAAAAGGAAAAGAAAGCTATGTTAGAGCAAATGATCAGATAAATGATGTGTTTTCTGGTGCCTTCCCCCTTACCACCCACCCAAGCTTTCTTTTGTAGTAGTGACTTTAAGGTAGAACATAAAAGAGACCATTTTAATCTAAAGAGTTTCATCTCTTATGTGTATTGCTATTTCCAGTTCTCTGATTGATTTAAAAATTAGGCTCAGCAGAATCAATAGTCTTTACCAAAGCTGTTAAAAAATAAAACAAATATATGCAGAAAGGTAGAAAGAAACTGTTTGGGTGAATAAGATGCAAAATAAAAGATTTCAAATAATTGAGATACTGAGATGGCTTGTAGATGTGTGTTCCTTCTTTATGCATTTGTTATAATTGGTCAAAATAGTGATAAGTCATAAAGAAGGAAATAGCCACACTGTTTCCAAAGGAAGCAAACATGAAGGAATTTTAAAACCGAGGCAATAAAAATTATGAAATGGTAGCACTTATATATAAAAGGAAATTAAATATATATTTTTATACACTGGAAGTGACTTTTAATTCCATTTTATTTCTTATTTAATGTGAAGTCACTGATTGAAAAACTCTTTGTGAAAGAATGTTAGATCTATATTAAAAAAAAAAAGAAGATAGGTTCTGAAGGACATATATTGGGATGTAAATGCATTACTTTGTTTTCTTTTGCAGCACTAGCATAGATAACCACCTGCTACTGCTTCTTGCTAATTTCAAAAGAGCACACTTTAGTGATGCATTTTAGAAATGGCCTCTAAGAAACATAAATATACTGAGTTACATAAACACAGTGAAATGGTGATATTCCAATAGACATAGCTTGTAGATAGCATAATTCATCATAGAAACACTAAGAAATGTTCACAAATAGATAAGATTTGAAATCTAATTTAAATATTTATTGTGTCTACAGTGTTTCTGGAAATGGACCAGCATACAAAGCTCCCAGGGTAGCCATAGAAAAGCAACTCCAGCAAGGGATTTTCCCAGTTAAGAATGGCAGAAAGGTATCATGCATGAAGAGCACTCTTCTCCTTAAAGGAAAGAATCTTCCCAGAAGCATTTCTGATAAACAGCGGTCCACCATGCAAAATCGACACCAGTTACAAATGGACAAACGTTATTTATTCGGAAATCGGGTACCACAGACATCTTTGGACCTCAACAATGCAAATCACAGGACAGGAGTATCATTTTCTTTTTCCAAAAAGGTACATCTAAAATTAGAGTCTTCAGCATCAGTTTTCAGTGAGAACACAGAAGAAACTCACGATTGTAACAAGTCACCCAGCTGTAAAGCAAAACCAACTGCAGAGAAATGTAAGTGCCACAGGTTTGCAAGTGAGGATGTACCTCTCACTAAGGAAAAAGATATAAACATCACACCAAGCCATCTGGAACATGTTTTACACAATACCTTCGCCATCAGCTCTCAAATCGTTCAAGACAAAAATGACTCTATTGATGAAACACGGGAAGATTCAATTGGCTTTCGTGCTTCATTCTCTCAATCTAATATTCATCTTGCAGATGTGGCTTTTGCTCCTTGCAGCAGAGAAAAAGAAAGTCGAAGTACATTGAAGAACACTTCAGAAAACTGCATTAATCACTCATGCCAAGCAAATGCTTCCTCCAGCTCACCAAACATTTACAGGCACAGTGATGCCAGGATATTTGGATGTCTGGATGAGTGTCCATCACTGGAGCCAAGTAAGCAAAACAGTACAGTGCACCTGAATCCCAACTCCAGAATGGAGAAGAGAGAAGAATCTTCAGATGAAACAGAAAGAGTTAGCAAAAATGCACCAAGGCTTGTAAGAGAAGCGTGTCCCCATGATGTGAAGTCTAAACCATTGCCTTTTCTCCATGTACAAAGTAAGGATGGCCATACCACTCTCCAGTGGCCCACGGAACTTTTGCTTTTTACAAAAACAGAGCCCTGTATCTCTTATGGATGCAACCCATTATATTTTGATTTTAAGCTTTCTCGGAACACAAAGAGTGACCATGATTCAGAGGACTTAAAAAGAGAATTGATTAAGGAGCCCTCAGAAATGAAGACTAAAATAGAGAGCCAAGTCTCAGGTTTAATCAAAGACCAACAGAAACTGATCCAAGAAAATGATCAGTCTCTGAAACCAAAGATGATGATAGCTAATCCAGATTGGGAAAATTTCCAGAGAAAATGTAATTTGGGCTACAGTGACTCTGAGCCAAATGTGAGTAAAAATAATTTTAGTGCAAATGATTTGGAAATGAAAAATCCTGAAGTGCCTGCTTTCCTTGATATCGCTCTAAAGAATTGTGTAGAAAACAATAATAATAGTGATAATGAACTTAAGGAACCTTCCAGGGCCCATTGGCAAAGCTGCCAAAGAGTAGTTCTAAATGATGCAAATGAGGGCCTATCTTTTTCTCCTTACATATCTAGGACTAAAAAACCAAAACTGATCCCTTGTGATCCTCATTCAGATTTTGAAGATGCAGATCAATTTGCCTGGAATCCTAGTCCTTACCCAGTGAGCAGTCACAGTGATCATGGGAAGGACTTTAGTCTAATTGTGAATAGGAACATCAGCATGACCAGTAAGGTTTCTGGATGTAGAAACCAATCTTACAAGACAAATTCTCCAAAGTTGTCTCTGAATCGAACGTCTAGCCCTTCAGACACAAACCCTGGTAGCACAGCCAGCTTGAGAGCTACTTGTTCAATTCGTAAGTCCGGCAGTAATGGCAGACGTAATGTGCTGTACTTTTGTGAAAGAGAACACAACCCAGCTGAAAGGCACAAAGGAAGACATCAGAAACAGAACTGCTTCTGCGCATCGGAGGAGTTAGCAAAGAGCCCCTTCCTGCCATCTGAAATACAGAGAGACCAGAACTACAGATTGTGGGAATCATTTAAGAATGAAAAATACTCAAAACATAGATATGGTCGCTGCAGAGAAAGATATAAACTGGGCAAAAATCAACAGCAGTTTTCAGGGTCCAAATCCAGGAGAATCGCCCAGTGTGATTCTAGCTCACAGGTTTCCTGTTCTGGGAACGGTGAAGAGCCAACAAATTGCCAGGGACCTCAGCGCGGCAGATTGGGCTCTTACTCAAGAGAGAGAATTTATTGTTTAAATAAAAGCGAGAGAAGTCAAGAATCTTTGGACAGCCCTCGTATTTGTGACCTGGGAAAAGTAAAATCCCTGCAGTATAACTCTGGGAATTTCAGCTGCCTTCTAAGAAACTGTTCTACCAGCCCTTCAGAAAGCACCGAGTTAGCCATTACAGAAGGAGAGAGGACCCCTCTGACAGCCAAAAGCCTTTTAGAAAGAGTGCAAGCCAAGAGGTGTCAGGAACAACCAACTAATTTTGAGCTGTCTTCAAAGAATTGTGAAAATGAATCAGAGGCCCATTCACAAATTCAATGCACAATTCAATTCACACCACTGGGGTGTAACAGACCCACATTGCCTTTGTCTGAAAGAACACAGAATGCAAGTAAGAAAAGAATTGATAAAGGCAGTGCAATTCAAAGAACTATTGAGAAAGACAAAGTCAAAAGTTCACAGACAAATAATTTTCATGTTTTAGTAGATCCTGATTGTGATAACCATCTTTCTAAAGATATAATTCATGTAGTAGCAGATTCACAGACACCAAACGTGAAAAAGAACCCAACAACAAAAGAACCAGTAAAACCTTTAATTAGCGAAGTCCAACATTTTATTCAAAGCCGTGACCCACTACCAAATGATTTCCCTGGTGCTTTTCCATCAAATAGATATAGTGGTGTTACTGATTCAACAGAGACCAAAGAGGACCAAATAAATCCTGACTTACAGGATGTAAGCATGCATATGAATCATGTAGAGGGGAATATAAACTCTTACTCTGACAGAACTATGCAGAAGCATGACAAAGTAGAAGATGAATTAGAAGTGTGCCATAAATCTAGCTCTCCCCCCTTAATTCAACAGCCAATAACATTTTCTCCCGATGAAATGGATAAATATAAGCTCCTACAGCTACAAGCCCAGCAGCACGTGCAGAAACAGCTCCTCTCAAAGCATCTTCGAGTTGTGCCTGCCTCGGGGCCCACCGCCTTCTCTCCGGCCTCGGCGGTCCAGACTGTACCGATTCACCAGCGCACCTCCATCACCACCATCCACCACACCTTCCTGCAGCATTTTGCTGTTTCTGCTTCCATAAATTCCCATGGTGGTCCCCTCCCTATAGCTCATCTACATCCCCTTTCCCAGCCACATTTTACACCGTTCACGTTTTCACCTCTGACTCCAACCATCATCCCCACACACCCCACTTTCTTAGCGGGTCATCCACTGCATTTGGTCACTACTGCCCCTTTCCACCCACCTCACATCGCGCTTCAGCCCCTGCCCTCGGCCACATTGATCCCCGCATTGTTTGGCCCTCACTTGAACCCAGCTACAGCATCTATCATCCACTTGAATCCTTTAATCCAACCAGTGTTTCAAGGTCAAGATCTTTGCCACCATTCTTGCTCCAGTCAGATGCAGCAGTTAAACGGAGTGAAAGAGGCCTTAAATATATCAACGCACTTAAACTAATAGGTGTTGAAACCCCTCTTGTGGTTAAATAAAACAAACTGTCACTACCTAAAAAATGATATATTTAAAGTGGTCTGTCTGACCATTGTAAGATTTAAAATATTGGTGCCAATTCAAAATATGACCAGTATACATACGTATGAATTGATTTGCCAATATTAAAATAGGAGCATTTTAAGAATATCTTTTAACTTGCATAAATAACAGAGCAAATTTAAAATAACTTTCTGGAGGGTAGAAGGAAAAGTGTTAAAGATCTGTTTGGAGGAGTTCTCACATAATTTTCTAAAATGGTAACAGAAGACATTCAGGCAGATCATTGATATTACAAAACAATCAAATGGAGCATAATATTGTATGTTCTAGGGGGTTGTGGAGTGAGTAAGTGAATGGATTGCACATTTGGTTTGTATGCATCAGATAATACTAAAAGAGCAGTGAAATAAATGACATGTTAAAAATAATTCCTATGGTTAACTATTGTCTAAGTTTTCAATCAATATAATCTGTTTCAATCAAAATAATTTATATTTTCATAGGAAATGATTAATTCAAGTTGAAAACTATTCTTCCGTGAAAAACAATCTTTACACATATTGTATTGTGGAATTTCTGGAAAATCTGGGTTATCTTCATTTCACATACATCTGTATTAAGAAACGTTTGTAACTGTAAGAGTCACCAATATCTAAAATTAAGAATGTTTAATTTTTGTATAAGAAAACATATATAAGCTATCATTAATATTTGATAATGCAAAATTAAAAAATAAAACATACTCAAGATTTTAAATATATGAGTTAATCTTTCAAATACTACAGGGACCGAATATTAAGTTTTCTTTATTCTTCTACTCAGAAATCTTACTGGGTTCAGCCAATAGTATATAAAAGTAGAGAGGTAAAGGTTTGGAAATGTCAGAATTTTTACATGATAGTTATTGAGAAAATCTTATTAATTATTTTGTGTATTTTACTCAATTGTAGTAAATATCAGTAAAACATGTTGAATGGTGATGAATAAAATCACGATTAATGTAACTTGGCAAATGATCTTAAACATTTTTTAAACTTTATTCACAGTATTTTCTGGTCCACAGAACCTACATTTCTTGCATCACTATTCTGAATGGCTCTCCAGTTAGATTTATTATTTTATATTCTTAAAATGAAAGAAAAACTCATATGACTGCACATTTCCTATAAACTTGGGTTTTAGAGAAAATCAGCTAAACAGAAATGAAATGATCAGCCATCTACTGTGTGTACAATGATGTCACTTCTTTTGTTACATGAGATGGTCACTGGCCATCTAATTCAGCCTGAGCTTCACAGAGAAGAGAGCTATCCTCACTGAAGGCATATTGTACATCTCTTAGGTATAGTCAGGCAAAGCACCTGGTCTACATTATTTCATTTAATCCTCACAAATGTATTTGAGACTAATATTATCATTCCTCCCTACCAAGGAGGAAAATGAAGTTGAAACGATAAATTCTTAATACTTGATAAATAGTAGGAAAGGATATCTTTGATACTGGTAATAATGAGAGACAGACGGACAGAGACAGAGAAAGGAGATAATGTAATTTTGAAATTGCAACATAAAGAAAATATGTAGTTTCCTAGGTATCTCAAGAAACTTACAAGATGGGGATTTTGACTGAAATATGACAGTGATAATGTCTAACTTATCTAAAAAGACTAGAAAAATGAAGGGGTGCCTGGATGGCTCAGTCGATTGAGGGTCCTACTTCAGCTCAGGTCATGATCTCATGGTCCGTGGGTTCGAGCCCCATGTTGGGCTCTGTACTGACAGCTGAGAGCCTGGAGCCTGCTTCAGATTCTGTGTCTCCCTCTCTCTCTGCCGCTTGCCTGCTCACACTCCATCTCTCTCCCTTTCTCAAAAATAAATAAACATTTAAAGATTAAAAAAAAGAATAGAAAAATGGAGAAAAGTCATCAAGTAGCAAAAACACAAAAAGAAAAACACAGAATCCTCTATACTTGTAGGGAACTTCATAAAAATCATTATAAAAGGACATTAATAAACATTGGGTCAATCCAATAAAATGAAATAAATTGAAAATTTATTACAAAAATAAATGACAAATGGCCCAGCAGATTAAAAAAATAATAATGTAGATGACTATTTCCTAAAACAGATTACAAAGTTGACATAGAGCCAAGACAGAGTAATTATGAGAACACAATAAAAGTCCTATTATGAAAAAGAAAGTACCTGATTAATTTTGGTAATTGTCTTTGTGACAATTTAATCTCTCAGAAGGTTAGATCAGAGAACCTCTATTGGGCACTTCATTTTGACTAATGAGGATAGATTGATATGAGTTGATGGCATGGAAACAACTGTCTTGTATTATCAGTGATGAAAATGTTCACTGCATATACTATCTTGGACTATGGTAAAGCGGCATCAATTGAAGAAAAGATAACTTGTACCCCAGAGTGAGAAATCGTAAAAGTTGTGGCATCACATGAGGAAAGCCACAATTATAAAATATTGAAATACGGAGGGAAAAAATTAGTCCTTTAAACAATCCAATATAAACTAAATGTAGGAAAACATTCAGAGTAATTGTTAACTTGCGATAAATCCGTGGGTAAAAATGAACAGAGATTAGGTTAATGTTTTTTTAATATATCATTTGTTGGACATATGAAAAGAAGTTAATACTTTTGCTTCTACTTACTGCTTACTGCAAGGGGCAGATGATCTCGAAACAAACAGACAAACAAAATGGCACTGTTACCTAAACCTGATTTCATTACACTTTCTCTATTAGGCAGAAAGTTTTTCAAAGTGGAAATTACAGGACAAAAATAGGTAAAGAATTTGGAACCTATCAAGAAAATTATTTCCCTGCCAATACAAATGATTTTGAATCTTCACTTTTGAAAGAATTTTAGCATAGAGTACTAGAATTCCTTAAAGAGGCCCTCATGATATCAACTGTCCTTGAGAGAAGATGCAGAATAGAAGAGAAGCTTGAATATCTTTGGAATATCTTTACTTTTATAAAGGGAGGAATGTTGAATGTAGATATTACTGATTTAAAAGTTAGCATATTTATGGATAAAATGTTAAGCAGAATGTTTTATGAAAAGGAAGAGACGATCACTGGTAACTATAAGTGGTACATTAAGAACAAATAGTACAAATACAAAAGCATTTTATTTATCATTTGTCCACTTTATTTTCATCCTTATTCAACAAATACATACTTAGGGCCATATCCTAGATAGTAATTAACTGCTGGGGTTATAGTAATGATCCAAACTAATGAAAATAATGTCATATAGTTTAATTCTATTTGAGTCATGCAAACAAAAACCAGAATGGACAAGTGAGATATATATTATGTAAAATGATGATAAATGTTATTGAGGAAAATAAATTGGAAAGGCAGATAAAGTGGCTTGGGTAGGGGTAGTAGGTAAAGCACTATTTTAAAGTAGTCCAGGGAAGCTTTACTGCCAAAGTATTATTTCAGCAAAGACATGAAGGATGTGAGGGAGTGAGCATTCCAGACTAAGACAAGACCAGGTTTCAACAACCTGCTGGGTGTGCTTACCATGCTCAAGAAATAACAAGAAAACACTGGCTGGGAAAGGTTTCTTGGGGAAGAATTATAGGTCGTAGAAATAATTGTGGAGCAAAATCTTGTAGGATCTTGTCCATCTTATAATGACTGGCTTTTGTTGTAAGATGAGAAGCTACTGGATAATTTTGGCAAAGGAGAAATGTGATTCATCTTAGATTTTACTAGGGTCATTCAGCTATTGCATTGTGAATATTCTCCAGGGGAGTAAAGGTTGGGGTAGGAAAGCAACTTAGTAGATGGAGTTCAGACAAGAAAAGGTAAGGACTTGCTCAGTGATAGTCTGGTGGAAATGTTGAGAAGTATGAGACTCTAGATTATTTTGAAAGCAGCAGGGTAGGAGAGGATCAGCTTAAATACTCTGTGAAGTGTCTAGTCATTATAGAAGTAAAGGTATTGAGTTGGTAGTTGGAAATATGGATCTGAAGTTTGAGCAGAAGTGTGAAAAGGACATACAGTTTTGTGAACCATCAATGTATAGTAAGTATACAGAAGCCATTAGCTTGGATATTATCATCAGGGGTAGGTGGGGTAGAAAAAAGTTTCAAAGACTGAGCCCCAGGTCACTCTAAGAGTGGATATAACAGAAGGAACTAAGAAATGAGATCATGATGAAATTCCAAGTTATGTAGGAAAAAATCAGAACTATATAATGCAAGTAATGAAAATGATTGAAATAAGTAAGGATGATCAAGTCTGTCATATGTTGCTGAGTCATGAAGAAGATGGAAACCTGAGTATTTCTTAAGTTATGTAGTGCTCACCTGCTGCCTTACTAGAGACATTGTGGTTGGGGCAAAAAATAGTAAAATACATGGGAATTTTACAGAGAGACATTTTATGATTCTTATAAATATCCTTATGGATAATAGCACTGTGTGATAAATGTTTTATAGCTAAACAACTATACCTAGAGAGTAGTAAAGCCTGCATTAATTCCAAACTGGAGAGAGGGTTGTAGAGATTGGTTATGAGGCTCTGTATTGCACTCGGTAATATAAACTTCCATAAAACATAGACAAAATCATGGAACAATTGTACCAAAGATGAGAAAAACACAAACCCAAGAGGAATAGCAAATATAGTGAATGGAAAAGTATAACATGAAAAAAAATATTTAAACATAAAATATGGCAAAATTTGAAAGGTTAACTTGAGCATGAATAGATGTCAGAGACTTCATTTATTTTTAATTTTAAAAATCTTATATGCATAGAGACTAACTCTAATTCATCAATAAAATGAAGGGCTTAGTAGATTATCAACTCCATATAACCTAATGATGTGAAAAGGATGGTGAAAAAGTTTTGACCTATTAGGTTGTACTAAAGGAATTATACAGAATTGGAAGACAAATTTCTTCTAGAACTTGGAAGAA